TTTTTTTTTTTTATAAATTCAATAATGATGGAAGAAAAAAATACGACAATTAGTTTTTTGCTGCACATAATGCATAATTAATTGCTTGACTTTCTGACCAAGACCATCGATTTATAATTGGATTATAGAACATTCCATTGTTTAGAACAACATTAAAATCATCTAAAACAAAAATCAAATTAAAGAATGAATATTCAAAAAAAAAAAAAAAAATAATAATAATAAATATCATATTGTTACTTTTTTCAAATAAAGTTATTAGATCTGATGGACGAACAAATTTATTCCATGTATGTGTTCCTGGTGGAACCATTCGAAGAATATATTCAGCAGCAATTATACCAAGAAAATAAGAAGCCATTGTTTGATTTAATGTTGTAATAAAACAAAGACCTTTTGGCTAAAATAAAAATGAAATATGAATACGTCATTCAATGAATGTACGGGGTTACAACTTTTCGTGTTCAAAATTGATTCGATAAGTTTTTCTAATATATAAAATCTGATGAGAATATAGTTCACAAGAAAGTGATTGATTACTCAATGATTGTCTTCTTCAGTTTAGAATTCTTTTAATATTACTAAACATATTTTCTGTATTTGTCGATAGTACTAGATTTAAAAGTTATAGCTGAAAATTTGGAGAATTAATCGAAAAAATTAGATGTTTATCTATGATTAAAGGAATAAATATATTGGTTTTTCATAACTTGTGAAAGATTACAGTTCTTTGCTAAAGTCGGTTGTAAATACTTCACAATAAAAATATGACAGAGAGTGTCAAGTTTTTCTTTTTTCAGTTGTGTTTTTTTACATCCGATATATATGAATGTGTTTTTTTTTATCATGACAATATATTATCACTTTTCGAATACACTTATTTTTCATTTACGGTTTATCATAAATATGGAAAAACAATTTTTGTTTTTATGCATTGCAACTATTCTCAAGTCTACTTAGATTCTTCAGACATGATCAAACAATTTTTATATTAATATCTATAAACAAAAAAAAAAAATAATTTAGAACGATTCGAACAATCGTAGATTATCGAAATGTATGCAGGTGCCGAGTTGGATCTAGATATGATCTTATATCTAGATCGACCTAGCAAATTCACATTCAGATCCATGCGCCAGTTTGAATATGGTGACGGCTATCCAGTGGAGTTGTAGGACACTAATCCGAACAAATTGATTCACACAGAAAAAATTTTGTAATTCGATATTCAATAACGAGGGAAATGTTTTCAATTGATCAATCGTTTTCTCACCGGAAACTAGTCTATTGAAGGTTTATCAACAATGCTGATTTCGGATATGACTATGAGAAATTCTCTTAGATCTTCATATGCTAATTTTGATAGAAAATCAGCATGGTAGATAACCCATAATTCAGTAGTTTTTGATAAGAGCGCGATTAATCAGTTGAAAACATTCCTTTCTAAGACTAAAGAACGATTAACAAAAATCCATTTTGTTTTTCTTACTTCAACGATTCTAGGAGATTTGTATTTCAAGTTATTAAGATTTTTCTCATATATCTAATCGCAAGAGATTGATCTCTATGAAAAAAATACTCACATCTCAAGAATACTTCTAGGAGAAAAAACAAAATAAATCTTCATTAATTATTATTTATTGGTGTCTCTTAATTAATATGTTCTGTTGGAATAAAATTGTGGCTTCTTGGTTTTTTTTTTAGAAATATAAACATTCGAGATTAATCCAATGAGTTTTACATACAATATCATATAAAATATATTCTTTTCGAATAAATATAATTGAATAAAATTAATGGATTGTTTTTTTCAACATACTTTCAGTAGTTTTGATATATTTGCAATAAAAGTATCTACATCATTGATATGTTCAATAACTTCTGAAGCAATAACAGCATCATATTTTTCTATTTGTTCAACATTTTCACATAATTCTTCAAGTGTTACTATACTAACGAAAAGAGATAGATACAAAAAAAAATAATTTTCAATAAAAATAAACAACAAACCATGTTTATAATTAAGATTTTCTTTTAAAGAAGGATCAGCATGATATTCAGCTGTATAAATATTTTCTGAAACAGCATCAATACCTAATATTGAAGCACCAAGACGTGCTAAAGGCTATACAAAAAAAGGTTTTTTTTTAAATTTCTTTTTTTAAAATTTATATACAAACTTCAGTTAGAATACCACCACCACAACCAATATCAAGTAATTGTAAATCTTTTAAAGGCTTAAGAATATCTTTTATTTTTGATGATGATTGAACAAGTTGTTCACGAATAAATGGTATTCGAAGTTGATTAAGTGAATGTAATGCAGTATATGCTCCTGTTTCATTCCACCATGATGATGATAATTGACGAAATCGATTGATTTCTCCGGGATCAACAGAACTTTTTATAGATAGTTGACGAGATAATAATGTAATAGACCTAAGAAATGATCAAAGAATTTATTAGAACAAAAGATTAAAATGATAAAATTAACCTAAATTGAGGAATAAGTCTAATGAAATGACGATATAAAATCGACATTGTCGAAAAATTGATATAAAATATTTAAGAATTTTTAATTAAAGAAAACATTTTTAGTTCTATGAATGAATCATTCATCGTATGTTGTTAAACATAATTGGTTGAAAGAGAACTAAGCAATATATTTATTTCTTATTCGCTAGAGGTCGAATATATATGAGTATTTCTTATGTTGATATTGATATATAGATATCTTATTCTTTTTATTTTTGATGGTTTTATTTGGTAGTTGTTTGCCTTAGAACAATTTTTGAAAGAGATAGAATATTTATTCTTGACTTAACAATGAAAATATTTTGCTTTTTATTTAATCTTTTGAAACGAAATCAAAAAATATCTTTATAGAATTTTTTTATTGACTATTATAACGTATCTAAATAGGTAAAATACTATATATCGAGGATATTCATGCTCCTTTTTTCAGTAGCATTATATCATACAATCAAATTTAAAGATGAGGACTAGTCTAAATAGTTACAAGTAAAAAATGACATATAGTCTAGTCGTAATAACTGTATTTGAGTACATTATATCATGACTTATTGAAATTTAATAGAACCTTTAGTTTATCGAATTTGTACTCTTTTTGAGATATATGAGTTATCTATGGTATATTCTGTTTGTGATACTAAAACCAACCAAATTATTTCTTATGAGCAAAAGGAAAATCTTTGTCAATCATTAATGATGATAGTTTATGTTTTTTGCTCACATAAATTCTCAATACTTACATGACCGACCACAATGCCACTAACATTTTCAAAACCGATAATAAATTCTATTGTTACCGCTCGTTTGATATATCTTCTAATATTGTTAGTAAACTATAACATAATTACTGGAATGGTCGAATAAGTGCCGATGGAAGTAATACATGTTGCAATATATAATACTGTTGAATCATATTTTGCTAAAGTTATTAGCAAAACATATTCAATAATACCAATTAATAAACTCAAACTCATATGATGACCCCGTTCTGTACAGCGACCAGCAGAAAAAGGAAGAAGTGTCTTTATGCATGAAATGACATGCGGGAGAGTAGAAATTAGCTGAGCACTTACATTTAAAAATTTCATTCCTTTATCAATTAATGTTGAGAAGTAAATAATGAGACAATGCGCTACTGTTGCATAGCTCACACATATAAACATACACAAATAGATTTTCCAATTAATAAATACTGAAGCAATTTGATGTTATGAAAAAATATATTCTCCATTAAATGATAAGTCTCTTATCTTGGCAAATATGATTTGTTAACATTTCAGTTTCAATATTTTTGTTAGTTCTGAAAAAAACAATGATAAAGAAATTTATAATGCTTTTAAAGATATTTATTCTACTCATATTGAATAGTTTCTGGGAAATCATCAACAATGAAATAAGTTAGTGTTTCTAATGATATACTTGGCGTTTCTTCAAAAAACAATCCATATGGTCATCCTTTAAATTTTACTGGATGACATAAGAGACTAATGCCATATTCTCTCACGTGCTAAGATGCCTGCGAAAGCACCAAATAGTAAAATACTACAATAGACTGATCATGAGAAACAAATGTTATTTACTTATATACAATAATGAAAAGTAAAATATTACTACTAGAAAAAACCTAGTTTGTGCTATACTTTGAAAAACCATGCAAGTTTTCGGTATTGTTCGAAAAATATTCTTCCCTTCTTGACGTTCTCTTTACTATAAGTATAATACTTGCATAAAGGCTTTACGTGTACTATATTAACAGAGAAATATTACAATAACTTTTATAATCATATATTCATCGGAGTCTGTATATAGTATTTAATCAACTTTTATTATTAATTTTATTTGCATAGTCAACTGGTGAAACTACTCTACAGTTGCGGTTTCAAAAACACCCTAGTAAATAATTCGCTGTAGTTGCTCTTAGATAATCATTATTTTACCATAGGAATCCTCAAAATGCTTTTAGAAAAACTTCAACTCATTTCCCTTTTACGTGTGATATCCTAACATGTTCGTGTCGTACAGAAAGGCTCGAAAGTAGCGAAAATCTGTTGTCGTAGAGATAATCATTTAAGGTACATTCTAAAATGGAGAAATACAGTGATTAATAAACGCTGCGACGATCGTCGTTTCCATCTCAATGACAATAATCATCCATTCTGATTTTCATTTTCATATCGTTTTTTACACGAGAATAAAGTGTCTTGAAACAACGATTAGACAGTCTCCTCTAATCCGTAGTAGATAAATCTTGATAATCTTGTCTAGTATTGCTGACTAGACCACATAGAAATGTTTCCATGAAATATCTTGCTGAAATTGAAAATCCATTCATCTTTTTTATTGTTCGATTTCGTTTCCTTTTGTTAATGTGAAATGTCGTTTAACGTTTTTCAATTATTTCGTGCATAAATCGATAGAGTTTATTGAGATCTATTTGA